TAAATAGCTGTAAATCATCATACCCCTAGACTAAACAAATTATCTCATGCTAACCATAACCAAATTAGTGTAAATAAAAGTAATCATATCTAGACACATTATCTAATGTTAATCCTAACAAATTGTAATAAATCATATTAATTGCTAAACAAATTTTCTCATTGCAGCCCTAATCAAATTGAAGGAAATAAAATCTCAAGATCCCCACTCCCACCGAAAAAATTGTAGTAAATCATAGTAACTCTAAACCAGTAGTTTCCAAACATTTTGCTGTGGGCCGCATTTTTCGGAATTAAAATTTGCCAGAGCCTCACCAAATTTTGTGTGTTAAAAAGGTACATTTCAAATTCAAAATAAAAAGCAATAAAAACCTTTTGAATTATCTTTGAGAACGACAATTGGGAGGATTTCTGCTAGAGAATTGAAGAGGAAATACATTGAGAATAATAATGGCCAACACTGTCAGATATACATTATTAACACACACACACACACACACACACACACACATATATATATATATATATATATATATATATATATATATATATATATATATATATATATATATATATATATATATATATATATATATATATATATATATATATATATATATTTGTATATCTAGGCATGGATTGATGGTGTGTATGTGCTTGTGTATTTGAGTTGTACAAAGTTTGGTATATACCAATTACTTCGCTATAGTATAGTGCTTAGCAAACTCGTCTTTTAAATCATTTATGCTATAGTGAACTGAAATTGAAATATATCTGCGCCATAAGTGGCCTTGTTTCAATCTAAGCTGTACTTACTAAATATTTATATAATTTCATAAAATTATTGCTGAGAAAATGGCAATATAGTCTGCAACAAATCCTTGAGTCCTGATTCAGGTAGAATTATAGTGATGAAAGTTCATCCCCCCACCCTTAGCTCCCTCAATACGATATAATATTTTTCTTAGTCAATATGGAAGAATACCAGATCCACGCAGCTTCTAGTTTTGATATTTACTCTTTCAGGATACACGTAATTTATGATCAGTGAAATATGTAAAAGTATTTTTCAAAAATCTAGCTTGTCATGTTTCGTTGGTAATCTGGTGTTATTAGGGAAGCAATTTTATTTTTCAAATATCTACATTTTCGAATAGAAATATCTATTACGTTAAGCGTCAAATCAGTTTATATTAAAATTTGACGGTATCGTTATAGAAATTAAAATGGGATTTCAAATTTTTTTTCAACATTGAAATATCGCACATTATTAAAGTATGAATTTAGTAAGAAATGGTAATATATTGAAATAAGAGGTTGGAAGATTCAAAAATCATATCATTTTCAATTCATCTTCATCTGATTAAATTATATAAATTGTTTGTTTTTTTTTAGAATCGCGTTTTCAGATCAAAATCAAGAACAAGAAACTTTCGAAAAAAACACAAGTGCATTGAGTGCATTTAAATTTGATTTTTTTGGCTAGTTTTTTTTTAAATTTCAGAATGTATTTTGTGGATATTGTCTATAATATATTTGGTCAAATCTTGCTACTGGTATAAACGTAAGGTTTTGTTTTGCATTGCTTGAAATTTAAAGAATTTCGGAATTGTTTGTGGTCATATTTTAGATTGAGTCTAGCTAAATAACTTTTAAAGTTCAGAAGTTTATCAGTTACGAACTTTGTTGGTAATGAAACAGACGGTCGCTTCGTGTTGTCCTCCATGATCACTTTTATATTAACATACGTTCTATCTCTGATATTGGAAGATTTTACACATAAATATAGCATACCATAAACTATATATATATATATATATATATATATATATGTGTGTGTATGTGTGTGTATATATATATATAGAGAGAGAGAGATAGATAGATAGATAGATAGATAGATAGATAGATTTCAAAATAAAAAGCAAAGAGCGAGAGAGTGAAAGGGAGATAACCGTGGATTCGAAATCTGAACATTATCATTGATAACTCTCTCCTTCGATTTGCGTAACCTACTTACTATATTCTTAATATTTGATATAATGCAAAAATATCACAATGATAAAATCAGTCAATAATTGTTTATAATTATTTATACTGGGTCTCATGCGTACAATTATAAATAATCCATAATAATATTTTAATTTTTGAAATCATATTTATTTTTGGCATATGAAATTTTTAAACTGTTTCTAAATCTTTGATTGTTTTTCAATCATTCCGCCTCACCTGCTATCTTCTTCCACCGCACCTATGAGGCGTGACGCAGTGATTGGGAATCACTACCTTCGATTAAACAAATTATTTCAAGATAACCCTAAGCAAATTGCAATTAATCATAGTAACCTTAGCCATTGTACATGCAGTAAACATAAGCCTGACTCTTGTTGTATTGCATCGTTACAGGAGGCGTGGATTATTATGTTGCAGGACGGGTTTCACTATGTACACAGTCGTCTGCATATAAAAGAGTGCAGGCCTATGTGAACATCCAAGGGGTATACATAGGATACTCATATGAGGCACGAGTACTTTTTATACCCACCTTACTTCGGAGATTGTGCATCTATTGATCTGTGTAGATGATCACATACAAATAAACCAACTATACTAATTTGTCTAAATAATCTGGTGTAAACTTAAACACGTATTCAGTGTTTGGCAATGTTATTTCCCTTTAATACATATAGAAGATAAAAGTGTATTATGTGTACGCTTTACCGAAATTATGATTATCGCTCTCCACCACTTCTAGGATCGGAGTGTAGTATTTGTGTGATCGATGAAAAAATGTGAAGAATAGATAGATAGATAGATAGATAGATAGATAGATAGATAGATAGATAGTGTTGAAACTTGAATAAAGCATGGAATAATAATAATACAACACAAAATGTACTGAAACAAAATGTATTGACACAAGAACGTGTACACAATATTTACAGAGTGTTTGGTATATTCTTGGGAAGACCGTTCCTGTAGAATGGGTTGACTTAGTCGCAGTCGGGCAGAGTCTCTGGATTGGATCTCTTCTTACTTCCTCCATCGTCTTCCCGGTACCAACCATATTTATATGGTCGGTACTCCATTATGTAAATTAGGTGGATCGTACCACAACAGATAAATAGATAGATAGATAGATAGATAGATAGATAGATAGATAGATATGAACAGATGGAGACAGATCGATAGAAAGGTAGATAAACAGGTATTCATTATCTATCTATCTATCTATCTATCTATCTATCTATCTATCTATCTATCTATCTATCTCAGTCTGTTCATCTTTATCTATTTATCTATCTATCTCAGTTTGTTCATATCTATCTATGTACACATCTATCTATCTCTCTATCATATTCATTTCAAATGTATCTATCACAATCTGTTCAAATCTATCTATCTATCTATCTATCTATCTATCTCTCTCTATATAGATAGATAGATAGATAGATAGATAGATAGATAGATAGATAGATATGAACAGATGGAGATAGAAAGGTAGATAGACAGATATTAACAGATTGAGATTAGGTATATAGGTAGATAGATATAGAATTCCTTCTACACATTTAGAAGATTCTCTATATTGGTCACTGGTGTATTAAAGGAAATAGTGGAGGACGCTTCTCTTTTGGGTTAATACTTAGAATTATGTTTATGACCTCTAGATTTCTTATTTATTTATTTTATTAATTTATATATTTCCTTTGTTTTTTGTGTATATTTTTCTTTGATCTATTTTCCTTGATTTCTATGTTTTGGTATTTTGAATAGAGTTTGTTAGATTTATGTTATTTTAGTCTTTTTGGTCATAAAGCAGTTGTAGGTAGCGTATTAGAAATTTGTTTCGTGTTTATATTTTTCTTCTTTTTTGGGTAGTGGGGGGTCGAAATTCACCCCACGTAAAGCAGTAAAGCCACGAAGACACAAGAGTTTCTGGGTGTGAAAGAATTAAAAAAAACAGAAGCATTATTGAAGAGCGAGAACAACAGAAATGTAATCAGGAAGGCAGCAGATAATGATTGACATTGCATTTAAATTTTTGAAGATCAAACTTGACTGGAAAGCAAGAAGACGGAAGCGTGTTCCATAAGATTATATCTAGCCATTTCAACTGTAAATTGATGAGATCTTGTTGCTAATCTCGTACTGCGCTTAAATTCACAAAGTCTAGCTAGCACAACGAAGAGCTCGTCCGAACAATTGCCATGACAGTATTTATAGAAAAAGCACAGGGAAGCTACTTTACCGCGGTGGAAAAGTAACTAAATTCCAGGTCAGGACAAGTAATATTGCTGATTCGTCTTTGGATTTTATTAAGAATCTCTAAATATATAAGCAGAAGGATCGGACCATATGCGGCAGCAATATTCTAACCATGGACGAATGATGCACATAGATATGTAAGATAGAGTCAGAAGAGAAAATTGTCTTAGCAGACCTAGAAATTGATTTAGTTTGCAAATTGTTGTGGAGTATTTCCACAGTGGAGGCTTGTATTTCTAATAAGTCGTCCTAAATTAGGTCCGACGTACAAAACGTTAGGAACTTGGAAAATAAGAGTCAATGGCGCAGCAATCTAGTTGTGATGGTTGGTACTTCAAATGTCCGAATCTCGACTGACGCGCTCAACACCATTCGGTATTTATCATTTCACCCACAGGAAACGAATATGGCACAAGGCCGGTTTTATTGTGGGTTTCTCCGAGCCCGTAGGCTCGGCCAAAAAAATAGCCTTTTGAAGCCGATTAGACGGGTTCAGGCCCTGTCTACCTCCCCGGACGAAACCTTGCCCTTCGGCAAAGCCTCGCCCGGGTTCCTCTCTGCTAATGCAGAGAGTTCGACAGAAGGCGTGCGCAATCAAAGACCGCTCAACACCATTCTGCCAGACTTGCCACTGCTACTCCTACTTATTATCTATGGGAGAGTCCATTACAATAGAATAGTTACCTAACACAAATGAAAGCCAATCTTTTATCTAGCTTATCTTATCATCAAAAAATGATTATTGCTACTCCCTTCTCTCGCGAAAAGTTGTTTGGACTTGGTACTCTAAGTTGGTGATGTGGTCTCTCCCGTCGTATTCGACCTATGAGTGTCAAGCATAGGCGGGAACCGAAAGCCAAACACCAGCACATGAGACTTGATTATAGTCATGAAGGCTTTGTGCAGAAGCAACCACACTTTTTGAAGGGCTGAATACAGAGACCTGGTGCACTACGTGCGATAAGGTCCCAAAACGACCCTCCACAGGTTTTGAATCAGAGTTGTCCTTCTCCTAGGCTGTAGAACCCAGTCTTACCTGCTATTTACCTATAGCTGGGGGGAGAAGAAGAGGATTCATACCTTTTTCCCAAGTGTATTAGCACGTAAGTGAATGTAGTGGATTCGACTGGAATTCGAACTCGGAATCGGAAAAAGGTAAAAAGTGGGGAGGGAGGTGATATAAACTATTTACCGCTTCTTAGTTTATATCACATCCCTCCCTCTCCTCTTTTTTACCATCTTCCTCTTATTTCTCTTCTCCCTCTCGTTGTCACTAGATTCATTTCTTTCTCCACATGTAAATCGTTTTATACTTTTTATGGGAAACTTTCCAATGACAGAAGTGGAAGATATACTTCGATAGTTGCATTTCTGAATAAAATATTTTAGTCGCATCGTGATTCCCCACCTGATGAAACGTAAAAAAAGAATTTGTTTAACGTTGAAGCAAGATATATAGTTTTGTAGTGGGTATGTGCATGTTCTAATGTAACACTGCATTATATATATATATATATATATATATATATATATATATATATATATATATATGAGGAGGCACGGTCGAGTAGTGGATAGTGATATATATATATATATATATATATATATGAGTAAAAAATGATGCAATTTGTTTTATTATATAAGAAATACGGAACACAAACAAACATCAAGTTTCATATGCCTACTTCTCAACATGTACACCATCTCCTTCAGTGTCAATGTTCCATCTAAGAATGAGGGTATGTATCTCAGCTTCGCAAAACTCGACTGTCTGCTAATGTAGCTAATTCTTTACACCAGTTTTCAGTTAGCATCGCCACATGACTTAGCATCCACAAGCTTACATCTCTTTGATCCAATGAAAGCGGAACTGAGGTGCAAAACCTTACGGTGGTGATGAAGTGAAAACTGGTGTAAGAAGTCACTACGTCCTCAACATTTTCAGTCTTACGTAGTTGGGATACATGCCTTCATTCATATGGGGAACACTGCCATTAAAATAGATGGTGTCCATATTGAGAGGTAGGCATGTGAACCTGTGATGTATAGCTATATCATAATGTAGGATGTGTTTGTTTGTGTTCCATATTTTTTGATATGATAACATTATTATGATTTTTACATGATAAAATTAATTGACTTACTTTCTGACTCAGCCTCATAGAGATATATTATCCAATCATTGGTAAACCTTGGACTATGTTTTCATTCCATCCCGAAACAAAAGGGATGTCCGCATGATCCGTTCCATATCTGTTCGCTGACCGTCTTGGCGTCCTCCTTCAGACGGGTCTCACCGACACTTTGACTATGTGAATCTCCAAAACCCCTCAACTATCAGAGCTCTTTCGAATATACGTTGAAAAGCACCTCAACGACTCATCGGACGCAGAGACCATCAGAGGAAAATGGAAAACCCTACGCGATGAAGAAGTGCTTGGGTTCAAGAAAAGGAAATATCAGAACTGGTTCGACGAGCATCAGGGAGAAATTGACCAGTTGATCAGTCAAACACGAGAAGGACGTGTGACATTCGAGAACCTATCCGCAGTTCAAAAGAAAAATATCTATCATGAGGCAAGGAAAAACTCCCAAAGACGACTCCGTGCAATCTAGAACTTTCTGGTGACAGGCAAAAGGCAGCGGAAATTTAACAGTATGCGAACCAACGAGATATGCATCACTTCTATGCGTCCACGAACAAGTTGGTCCCATCAAATCAACGGTGACAGCCCTTAAGGATATGGACGGTACCACCATCCTTACTGATTCTGAGCCCATTCTGAACCGCTGAAAAATCACTTCCAGAGCCTTTTCAACGACCACGCAATCACGCTGGAAGACATCTTGTAGAAGAACCTCCTGCCCCCCTACCCAATTCCCTTCCCAGAATTGGATATCACATCTTCTAACCTTTCCGGAATTGAAAGAATCACTCCGCTTCATGAAACCCGGAAAGGCTCTCGGGCCCGACAGTATGCACCGGGAATCTTTCTTCCATGTTGGCCACGAACTGAAGACCCGGATAATGTTCTTGATATAGAAAATCTGGGAAAATAAAACAGACACTGACCACCTTTAAAATGCCAATATTATGTCGATCTTCAAAAAAGGAGACTGCTCACTCTGTGGAAAATATAGTGACATCACCATTCCAAGTATTTCTGGAATTTCCAAGATCTTCGTGTAAATATTTCTGAATCGACTCCTTTCCATGGCAGAAAATATCCTTCCAGAATACCAGTGTAGTATCCGACCTTCAAAAGGCATTGTCGACATGGTCTTCTGTATGGGAAAGCCCCAGAAGAAAAGTCGGATTGGAAGGGCAAAGTGCGTTATGTGCTTCTTCCACAAGATCAGACGTTGAATTCAGACAAATACTCTCCTGAAATAGACCGGTTGAAGACAACAATCGATGAAAAATGACCATAATTTAATATTCGAAAAGTCTCACGTCTTTTTGCTGACCGAACAGAAATATAGGTTGGCTGAGATAACCCATTACATTCACCGTACTGCACTGAGCTTTTCTTTTCAGATTACCACTTAATTCAACCTGTGTAGAAAACTTATAATGGGAAGAATTCTCTGAAAGACTGTAAAACCCACTTAGACCATATTGTCACCCAGAAATATGCCAAGATCTGGGAGGATTGAATCCTGAAGCCGCCACAAAGATGACGAAAGGTAGCGAAACATGACACATGTGGTTGAATAAATCTACGTGCAAATATGTAAGTATTAACCAGGAAATTCACTTAAAATCCCTACGAACTTTTGTTTCGATTTACCTAGACCAATTCAAGAAATGTGTGAGGTGAGAATGGGGTGAGAATGGTATAGTATTCAGAAGTAATTGAGATCTCTCTTCCACCCCTGTCGAAAATGGAACAGTCGAATGTAGATATAAGCAGTTGACTTTTGCCACATGTATTGATAAAGTGGAATAAAGCTTATCTTTAAGTTTATCCGAGCTTTTTGCTTTCACTACGAGGGGACGGAATTCAGTAAATAAATTCTGGCCTGCAAAGTGTCAAATGTGTTTTCTGTGCTTTTCACGAATGTTTTGTGATGAGTTCGAATCTATAGACCCACTATTTGATTAAATGGTTCAATTTTTATGCTGACTTGAAGAATTTTCTTTTCAAATCTTTTACATTTATGTAAAAAAAAAAACTTATTTCTCTTGGCCACCATCATTTAGATTTTATTATATATATGAAATATTTTACTCTGTTGGTTACCACTGGTGTTGTGTCCTCGGTATAGACTTTAATCCTTTTCTTTTACATGACTATATTTGCATTCAATTAATTCTGCAAGAAACAAAACGAATTCCTTGAACAATAATATCTTCCTTCAACGATGCATCATTCACAAGGACTTTCTTTCAAATGGAGCTTACGTCACTCCACTTCTAAGAATTTATAGACCTTGCCAATAAGCCAAAGACAGGTGGTAACATCACAGATTTTTCTATAAGAATACAATAGAATCGTATTTTGTTAGGGATTCGTTGGTAAAAAAAAAACCTTCTTAGTAGAAATGCATTGGAAAGGGATTTGACTATAGAAATACATTATGAATCTTTTTAATAAAGAATTACTTATATGTTGAGAAGATTGCAGTGAGCAGTTCCCTTGGGGAGTGTATTTATATGCCATTATTATTATAACAGAAAATATACTGACTTAAACCGCAGCTCCTGTCTTTCTGTGTCGCTCACAATGACGTCACTCAACTGCCGCTCATTTATACATGTTGACTTATAGTCGAAACAAGTGGAAAGTGACATCATGGTAGCAAAATCCATCCTGACTACAGTTTCTGTTGAAAACCAGAGTGTCTAAATTAGTTTCTTCTTGACTGTGTTAATCTCTTTTATTTCTTCTTATTTATTGTTGTCCTTTGTTTACAATGTTTCTTTTTTTTTCTTTTCTTTTAACAATTATTTTCCTTCTCTTTTATTTTTGACATGTCGTTCTTTATTTTCTTTTTATTCGGTTTCTTTTTTTTTTCTTTTTCTTTTTCGACTTTCTATTTCAACTATTCTTGATTTCACTTTTCTTTCTTTTTTTCCAGTTGTTCTCCCTTTCCTTATTGTAAGTCCTTTTCTTTTTTAAATTCGGCATTCTTTCTTTCTGTTTCTTCTCTTATTATTGCCAGACATTTATTTCTTGTGAGTTCTTCAACTTCTTCTTCTTCTTCTTCTTCTTCTTCTTCTTATTATTATTATTATTATTATTATTATTATTATTATTATTATTATATTTTCCTTCTTCCTCTTATTATTATATATTCTTCTTCTCCTTCTTATTATATATTCTTCGTATTATATATTCCTCTTCTTTCTCGTCTTCTTCTGATTATTATTATTATTCACAGCCTCCTTCTTCTTCACCTTATATTTGTCACTTTTTCCTTTACCATTATTTTCCTCGATGCCTTCTCAAATGTATTTTTCATATTCTTTCTGATTGTTTCCCATAATGTTCTGTTTATCCCTCTTTTTCTGTATTGAATTCTTTTTCACTCAGTTATTTTCTTCTTTACGATGTTGCTGTCCACACTTTTCTTTTTCTTCGTAATTTGCCTTATGCACATCACGTTCTTTCTTCTTTGAATTCCCTTCATTTTTTTTTCGTCCTTCTTCTTCATATTCTCATTCTTCCTCTTATTCTTGCCTGCTTATTTCTTGTGTTGTTTTTTTTTTTTTTTCGAAGACTTTTTCTCTATTTTCTTCCTTTTTTTTCATCGTGTTTTTCTCATTCTTAACTTTCTACTTCTTCATCCCTTCCTTCGCGTTTCACATTATTTTTCTTATCCTCCGCGTTTTTCCTGGGTTTCTTCTTCTTTTACTTAATTTCCTTCTTTTTTTCTTCAATTTCTTTATACGATACATCTTTCCGTTATTCTTTTAGTTTTTATGTCCTTTACGCTCTTATTTCTCATTATTTTTCTTCTTATGCTTTCTTTATTGTCTTTCTTAACATTTCTTCTCGTTCTTCTCATTATTTCTTCACCTTCTTCGTTCTCATCATTTTTTCTTCGCCTTCTCCTCTCTAATCATTTTTTCTTCACCTTCTTCTCTCTCATCATTTTTTCTTCTTCTTCACGTTCTCCGTTCTCATCTTTTATTCTTTTTCGTCTTCCTCTTCACCTTCTTTTCCCTCATCATTTCTTCTTCTTCGCCTACTACTCTCTCATCATTTCTTCTTCTTCACCTTCTTCTCTCTCATCACTTCTTCTTCTTCACTTGCTTCTCTTTCATCATTCTTTCTTCTTCACCTTCTTTGTTCTCATCACTTCTTCTTTTTAGCCTTCACCTTCTTTTCTCTCATCATTTCTACTTATTCACTTTCTTCTCTTTCATCATTTCTTCTTCATGTCCTTCATTCTCATCATTTCTTTTTCTTCACTGTCTTCCTCTTTATCTTTAGGTTTTACATCTTTACGTCCTTCTTTTTCTTTTTTTTATTTTGTTCTCGTTTTCTCGTCATTTCGTCTTCTTCTTTCCTTTCTTCTTCTTCACATTCTTTTTCTTCTCGTTTTTGACATTCGCAATAATTTCATCTCCTTCTTCTTTGCCTTCTCCTTCAGACTGCTATTATCTTCTAAAAACAGCCTTGCTGTCATCAAAGTCCCATTGCTACTGTTGCCACATTGTCGTTGATCTTACTGCACAAAGATAAAGGGCGCCATGTTGAAACCGCCATTTCGACAATACGATCCCTTTGTTTGCAAATCTCTCAATCATTTGTTCATTACTGTCCCGTCTGATCGAAGAGCTTTAAACATCAATCGAAATCCTCGACGCCAATCGAAATCGAAACTTATCTTTTAATCGATCAGGAAGGGTTAGTCAGTTAATTCTATTCAGCTTTAACATTGCACGCAAAACCGAAATGGTCGCCAGCGCAGACAAAAATCATTGAACGTTTATTGCAGGAAGATCCCTTGCAATTATCAAACGACATCTCTCATTTTCTTCAGATCTCTCTAGATCTGTCTAAGTATATATATATATATATATATATATATATATATATATATATATATATTTTTTTTTGTGTTCTGCGTAATGCTCCTAACAGTCTTTTTTGTAAACCAGAGATTGAATACAGAAATGTAAAAAAGTTTTTGCAGAAATTCTTAACATATTTATATAAATAATTAGGAGGTAAATATTCAATTAAACAATTTTTGTAAAATTCAATCGACGATGTCTCACCGGCTAATTTTTTAAATTGCATTCTTAGAATAATTTGCTGTATAAATCAGAATTGCAGTTAAATTTTTCAGAGTTCATGTCTTGTTCTTTTCTTCTTCTGGTGCTTACGACCGTTTAAGTCATTAGCAAAAACGGAATAATCTCAGTTTAGTAGAAAAAAATCTTTTACTTACATCCTGTCACTTATGAAACGCTACAATTCAAATTCAAAAACACGAGGGTTAGAAAAAATTTCACAATACTCGTTTGAATATATATATATATATATATGTGTGTGTGTGTGTGTGTGTGTGTGTGTGTGTGTGTGTGTGTGTGTGTGTGTGTGTGCTGAAAAGCACGTTTCCTTTAAAAAGTTTTTCAGAGTGTGCAGGACGGTAGACGAAATAAATACTGTTTAAAATAAAATTGTAGGTCTACTCAAATACGGGTATCCGTTAAAAGTAACGTTTAAAGTTACACACACACACACACACACACACACACACACACACACACACACACACATATATATATATATATATATATATATATACAAAAATTGATTTGTACTTAAAGAAATGATATATAGCATTAAATAACATGGATGTCATACCTTAGGTACCTTTCGGCCAACACTTTTTCAAAGGTATTCGTTGGAGATTGCAAATACAAATGAAGACATACTCAATAAAGTAAATGAGGATGGAAAGGTGGAACGCGATTAAAAAGAGAAATCTTAATTACACAAAATTAAAATTGAACAAGGGGGGGATAAAAATAACCAGTTCCACAAGAATATAATGGAAAAAAGACACTCACAACCCCACCGCCAACAAACGAAAGGAACATAAAAAAATGTTCTTTTTGTCTACACAGGCTCGGCTGATGACTCTTTAAAAACAGCTTTTAAGACACGAAGATGGTATACTGAGCGAGCGCTGTGTAAAATTGAAAACCACGTGTCTTCATAATCAGAGGCACAAGCATGGTTTTCGAGCAAATGCTGACTGATGGCCGATTCATGGACTGCCTGAGTAGGTCTTCTTATAGACTGGCTAAGACGACCAGAACGCAAAAAAGGCGGGAACATGCTGCGCAACCCCCGTCTCCAACCTTAGATTGGTTCGTCCTATGTACACCGCGTCACAACGGTATTTGAACTTATACTAATTTTTTTATGAAAATAGGGACAACCTATCTTTAGTAAAGGGACGGAAACACAGGCCTCGTTTGAAAAACTGTGCGCAACTTAACCGTATTATAACAAGACGAAATAGACGCCGAAATTCTGTCAGACAATAACTGACATTTCCTACCAAGCCAAGGTAATTTTAAATAGATAGGGCATTGACTAGGTCCAAACACCGCAGGTTCATTAAACCGCCTGATTTTGCTATCAATAACACACCTGATATCATTCATGGGATATCCATTACTTTCGATAATATTCCGAATGGTAGTAAGTTCCCCCTCTAACAGTTCAGGGGAACAAATCATGATAGCGTGAGGAACCAAATCGCAATCAGACCAATCTTGCGGGACTTAGGAAGAAGCAAATTCCAGCTCGTGTATAGTCCAGTAAATGTGGGCTTAGGAAAAACATTGGTAACGAAAACCCCGTCCTTGCGTTTAATAAGGACATTCAAAAAGGGGAGTGCCCTATCCTTCTCATCGTCCATTGTAAACTTAAGGGATGGATGGATGGAGAGAATATATAGATATGTAGGATAGATTCTGGAGAGAAAAAATTGTCTCACACGACACAGTATACCAACTTTCTTAACAGCTGACCTAGCAAGGGATTCAATATAATTTTTCCCCTTCATGTCAGCCGAGGATGTTAACCCGATAGGGCACAACGTGTCACTTTTAGAGGTAGCATTAGTCTTGCCGGTGGAAGGCAGAATGGAGTCTCTCAGATGATTAATAAAGAGCAGCTTTTTTTCTACAAGTATTTTCATCCATTATGAATATTTGTTTTATCTTAATTTCAATTGCTTTGATAGCAAATGCTAAATCCATCAAGATTTACCTACAATCTGCTCTAAATAACGGTTTGAGTAATTACAAGGAAAAGCAACTAAAATTAAGAGGAAGGGAATACTACTTAAAAATCCATAATGGTTACTCGTAAATTGTTTAGATTGGACAGAGCTGTTTCTACGATTCCCTGTGACAAAATGTGACACTGAAGTCCGAAGTTGCATTGGAATAGCAAAAAATGCCTTTCAGATGCTAAGCAAAATATCAAACAACAAAAAAAATTTCGTTAGAAACAAAGTAAAGAGTACTGAAGAGCTATGTAATATTAATCTTCCTATATGGCAGTGAATGCCATAAAAGGAGACTTGAGAAAACATAGAAACGGTTCGACGAATGAATGCTGTAAATGCCATGGACGGAGCATGTGAACAACGAGGGAATTTGATGGAAAATGGAAACACAATAAATATTTAGGACATATAATAAGGAGGGCCTGGAGAATTTGACACACACGGGTCATATTGACGGCAAGAGAGATACAGGGAATCAACGGGTAATTGTATCTAACCAGTTTGTGTAAATAGATGCTAGATTAGAGAGATAGAAAGATATAATAAAAAAAATGAGATACAAAGATAGGTTACCCACGTCCTGAAGGGAGAGTGGCCCATATAAAAGAAACTATATTCTCAAATCTTATAACGTTATTTCATCTACAAACAAACGCCCGCCGATCCCTGGCGCTGTTTCGAAATAGCCAAATATCTCGGCCATTTGACAGATCTGCTCATGTTTGGGGATACGCTTCCTGTATTTCATACAAAATACATTATGCATTTTTGCAAGGTTGCAATAATCACACATCTCCAATTTAGAAAGCGAGAATGTTATACAAAGAATTCATGGTAGCTTAAGGAATTGGGGTATATTGTCTGGCCATGTGCTGAGTCACTGGAAGAAAAAGGCCAAATGACTGGCGTCAGACTGTCTCCAATCTGGAATTTGGAATAACATAGGGTGTATTTAGAAGCATCTAAAATTCTAAGCAAAGAAGTCGCTGTATTAGTCGTTGATCAGAAAGATGGCGGCCGTATAAGAATGACGTGTCTTTTTTTCCTCACAGGAAGGATGTTTTAGAGAAAAGGCTACAGTCTAGGTCAGCGACACCCCCGCACAGAGAAGATGAATTAGATCTTTATTTCCCTTCGACAACGTAAACATAAACTAGTGACGCGTCTCAAAATCTCTACGAAACAGGCTCTTTTCTTTTCTTTGTCAAACTTTGCTAAAAAAACTGTTGCATCTCTCTCTCTCTCTCTCTCTCTCTCTCTCTCTCTCTCTCACTCATATATATATATATATATATATATATATATATATATATATATTCAAGCATGTTTGGTTGAATAATCTATTCATATTATGTATATTTTTATTTTAATCCTCTCAAATTCACGGACCAATGTCTTAGTGCTGTTACAAAACCGATTAAGAAAGACGCCGTAGTTTGGGCTATTTGTCTCATCTTCACAATTACTTTCAATCTCATCCATGATCATCTAAATAAAAGAAACAACAAAAACTATGACGCCTTTCTTACTTGATTTTGTAACAACACTAAGAAACTTATCCGTGAATTTGAGAGGATTAAAATAAAATAGTCATATGTCTAGATTATTCAACCAGACATGCTTAAATGAAGATATGCTGCATATTTTAGGTTCCATT